TATCATAAACCCGGTGTCCTCGGCCTCAGAGTGGGCGCCAGTGGGGGGCAGAGCTAGCCTTCCCCCTTTGTCTGCAGACAACACTGTCCCAACCCTGGTCTTGCGTGCTCGCTGACGCGGCCATATACCCGAGCACACAGAATTCCCGGTAGAACGGAACCAGGCTGAGGTTCAACTACCAATAAACGCAGGAGGAACGAGTTCGTAGTCCCCAGGCTGGCTTCGCCTGCTCCGCGCGCCCGACGGTCCACCCGCCCGCCTGTCCGCTCACAGGCCCAGAGCGGTGGCTACCCGTGCCCCCACCCACTCCTGGGTTCCTGCCCAGCCCTCCCAGGCCCCCCAGAGCTCGGGGGTTTGTTTTGCTTTCGGAATGTGGTCCTTTCTGGATTTGGAGAGAGCCCCGGAAACCCCCTCATAGTCGGGAAACACAGACGCTGCCTTCAAATGCCAGCATATTTGTTCACGTGACCCCGGGGGAAGATTGTACTGATTGAGACTGAAACTTTTACACCATCCAGCCCCCGGAGCACGGCCAGGCCTGGGGGCTGGGAGGATGGGCAGGAGGCGTGGGATCTGGGCCCCTTCCCAGGGGCAGACATTGGCGGGTATGAGGATGAAGGAAAGCCCCCATCTCGCTGCTCTGGACAGACGTAGTCCCAGTCCGGCTGCTGGCAGTGAATGGGGGCGCTGGGAGTCTCTCCTCCTATGACCCCTGACCCTGGTCTGGCCTTCCTCGAGACTAGTCCCGGGATGGAAATTTTAGAGGCCGCCTGTCGTAAAGGCTTCTCCGCAGGCGGCTGTAGAGCATCAGATGCTCAGGGTTCCCTTGGCTCCCCGTCTGCACCCAAGTTCCCCGCTTCCTCAGGCACCGGGGCAAGGTGCCGCCTAGGCTACCGAACACTTTTCCCCTCCTCTGGGCGAGGCAATTATGTAGCGGCACAGTTCAGGCTCCAGCCCTAGGGTTGGAGCCTCCAGGGCACAGACGTGGCCCGTTATCTCACCACAACTACCACATTACCACTGCTTGAGGCCTTGGCTCCGCGGCACACGCTGCAGACAAGACACCGCTCTGAGAGCCAGAACAGGGGCGCATATGCAGCCTGCCAGGACCCGGAGCGGTTCCGGAGCTGTTCCCCTCTGCACCTTTCTCACTTCACCCTGAGTCCTGCGAGGCCTGGAGTGACCGAGGTGCTGAGCTGCCGTTTGCCATGACCTGTGAGCCTCCGGATCTGGGCAGTGCCCGCTGATCTCACGGGCTGCGACTGCAGGACTGCACAGCCGGCCGTGCCTTCCCGCTTCCTGCGGCACCTTTAAGAAGGCGCGAGCCAGATTTATCTGGGGTAGGAGGGAACTTATGTTTTAGAAATATTAAATCAAGACAGGTTAGCAGCACTCTTTGAGAGGTCGGTGAAATTCACGGTTACAATTCTGCATGTAGTCGAGAGAGTTAAGCTGCGGCAGACAGGCGGGAGCCTGCTTCTGGCCTTCCAGCGAGACTCCTCGCCTCACCCCGCCCTGCCTGCACCCCGGAATCCCACACCACGGAGGGTCTCCACCCCTTTCCCGAAGTCTCCCTTTCATGGCCAGCTCTGATTCTCAGCGGCAGTGGGAACGGAGCAGATGCCCCGTTGCTGCTCGCAAGGTCTCTGAAGGGCGAATGCGCTCTGCAGCCGCAAAGAGCCTGGGGAAACCGGGTAAGGTTCTCCGCATCCCCATTCCAGAGGCTGGGAAAGTCCCAGAGGGCAGGTCGAAGCTCCAGCCCCCAGACCTGTCAGCCGGCCCCTTCTTTTGTTCACCTGGCTGGGCTGGGCTGGAGGCCCACTCGGGAAGCCTCACGGAGCTGGACCGTGGGTGCCCCATTCCACCCCCGCCAGGAGGACCCCGCCTCCTAGCCTCCCACCAGGGGCAGCAGCCGGCCCGCAGCAAGTGTTAATCTCCAGCCAAAGAGGGGGGCCCCTTTGCGGGAATTTGTCTCCAGGAAAGGATCTAAGCCTTCTTCAATCGGAGCATATGTTCATAGAGCAATAAACCGGAAAGATTTACAGTCCTCGCCCGGCCCCCAACAGCCTCGCACCCTTTCAGGAATTACTTACGATGATTTATCACACCAACCCGGGCAATTGTCACACTGATAAAATAGCCCGGGCCGGTGCCCGCCAAGCCCGGGCCTTGGGAGGCTGTTGGCTGCCAGGCTGCCAGCAGGGCTAGAGAGGCGGGTTATTTTTGTTGCTGTTGTTGTTGTTGTTGTTGTTTATGTGGGTTCCTCTCCCGGCCTACCAGGAAATGTGAAGTTCGGCTGGAGTGGGTGGGGTTGGGGGTGGGAGGCGAGCCAATTCTCATTGAGAAAAAGGCGAGTAACTCGGAGAAAGCGCCCGGAATCTGCACTAGAGTCACTTGCAAAGCACATAAACATTTGTCATCTTTGAATAATTGAATTAATGTGTTATTGTTTGAATGTATAATTCATAACGGAGGAAACTTTGTCTCTGTCTGATGAAGAAATATACACACACCAAAAAAAAAAAAAGAAATCAAAAGACACACAATCCCCAAACAACCACCGAGAGCAGCTAGCCTCCGCTGGCAGAAATCATCCTCAAAGCCAAGAGAGGGAAGGGGGTGAATAAAGAGGCTGTCCTTCCCGGCATACTGGCTGGAGTTGTGAGCTAGAGGAGAATGCCCGCAGCCCAAAGCCCCTAGCCCCTGTCTCCGCACGCTGGGGGTGCGCTGGGGCGGGATGGGAGCAGAGTGGGTCTGGAACCTAGAGTCTCCTTACAATGCAGAAGAAAAAAGGCTGAAAAGGGAGCAAGCGAGAGATACAGCCTTTGCATCTACCTCTGGCCTCTCCTGCCTATCCTCTCGGCCAGGTTTCTGCTAGCCCCAGGGTCTCCCACTCCGGAGGCAAGGACTTCATTAACCTACCTTTATTTTAGATCACCGCCCCCCCCACGCAAAAAATAAAAAATACAAAAATAAAGAGGAAAAAAGGAAATCTCCTTGCTGGGATGACAGAAGCAGCAGAGCTTGTGTGGGGAGGGAGGGGAATGGGAGAAGCAACTCGGAAATCATTATCTGTTGGTTAAAACCTGCCTGGGGTAAAATTTCAACTCGATTTTATAGCCTCCTATTATGACGCAAAGAAAAATTTACGACCCTCGCTTGAAAAGAGGGCTGGGGCCTTTTCTCACCGGTTTAAGAATAGGCGGCAGATGCCGTGACAGCGACCATTGTTCCCGGTAGACACAGGCGACCGGGCAACCTCGGCCCCGCGTGCGCCAGGCGCGTCCCCCCGCGGGCCAGTTTTTACAACTCCTGTTGTCTCCAAACAGCCCGTGCGCACCCTCGCCCCTTTTCCTTTTTCTCTTCTCTCTCTCTCTCTCTCTCTCTCTCTCTCTCACACACACACACACACTCGCGCGCGCACACACTCGGCCGCACTCAGTAATTTTTCATAAGCGCAAAGCTTTGCTGAACCAAAGGTCACCATCCAAGCCACTAACAACTTCTCGCCAGCGCGTGGTTCCAAATCAGGAAGCAAAAGGAACTATTTGTCAGCGGCCCTGACAGCTAAATTCATTAAGGATTTAAATCTGAAGAAATAAAAGTCGCCAAAATATTTACCTGCCGGCTGCACTCCCCCGCGCGCGCCGTGTGGGGGGCCCCCCTGGGCGGGTGATATTCTTGGGATCCCTGCACTTTCCAAGTCGAAGAGAGCCCTTTGCGTGGCAGATTAATGACGACTCCGTGTTTCTTAAGGGACGTGCTGAATTAATTATTTCACCAATCACGTGGTCGGGACTTGTAGAAATCTATTCTTATCATCTTCCTCGCACTTTGAAAATTCTCCGGGTTATGAAAGGCCCTCCCCCAGCTGCCGGCGAGCCCCGGCCGCCAGCCCGGCGAGGGGGGCGGGGAGGGCTCCCCAACATGGCGGGCGCGCGGGCGGGCGCGCGGGCGGGCGGGCAGCGCGGCTCGCCTGCCCAGGGGCCGGTTTACTGTACTGTACTCCCGCGGGGTGGGCTGCGCGCTCGCTCTGTCCTCATCCAGCCGGTGATTCAATGCACACAGTCTATTGATGTATTGGTGGGCACAGGAGGAGCCATTAGCCAGAAGACAGGCAAAGGACAATCATAAAATTTGTCTGAATATTTAAACTTCTGTCTATGCACTTATAAATACACATGTCCACGCGTCTGAGGCGAGCGCTTCCATATATTAAGGACACATGTCTGATTTTACGCATTCTGCTCATTTCCTGTCTCGAGCCAGGCCCTCCCACCCCATCTACTTAGGAACTCCTGTCTTGGCCCCTCTTCAAGGCGAAGCCAAAACGTGAAAAAGCCCTCGCGATAAAAATAGCGCACGCCACTTTTTATAGTGGGGAGTGTTTATTGTCGTCTGGAGGGCGGAGTGGGCGATGGGAGAAGGAGGGGCAGGTGCTGGAGGCCCCAGTGTGGCTGAGCAGCACAGGAAAAGTAGAGGGAACCCAAGATTGGAGGCCATGGGGTCAGGTCAGAGCAGCCACCAGCCAGTCCCAGCTTCGCCCAGAACCCTGCTTGTACACCCTGTCCTAGAGTTGGGGGTGGGGCCGTCTCTCACCCACCGGTCACAGAGGCTGCAGGGGTCTGGGGCTGACTGGAGCCATGCAGAAAGCCAGCCTGGAGTCTCCTGTGAGGCCTTTTCCTTTCAAAAATAATGCCCACCACCCAACAGCCTGAATTCAATCCTAGGCTTCCCAATGCTCACAAAGTATGTGGTGGTTGCATTGTGAGTATGTATGTATGGGGAGGATGTACTGATAGAATTGCTAAGCCAAAGTTTAAACTTCATATGCCAGGCACATTGCAGAAAATAAAAAAAATAGTTTATGTTGAACATTAGCTTTGAGAAGACTTAATGAAAAATGCTTTTGTGGAGGCACCAAACAGGAGGGAGATTTTGCTATACCTTTTATTATTTCAAATATAGATCAATGAATTACATCAAAACTACAGGCAACAATTAGTATAAATAATACTTTAATCAGTGGCAGCAGAACATTGGTCGATTCTATTTAAAAAGTACCTTGTGTGAAACAGACACCATGGGCTGACTGACAATGTCTTCTCCCAACAAAAGCCTGCAGTGGACAGAGTGAGATGGGGGTCTGAGGGGCAAAGTCCTCAGCAAACACTTCATTCCCCCTAGTCACGACCCCAATACAGCTTTAAAAAAAACACCAAAACAAACACTTCTGGCTCATATTTGGGGGAACAAAATAGAAACAAATACAAGCAAATGGGCACTGAACCTTTCTACATCCAGCTTTCTGCAGAGCACGTTCCCAGATGGAAATTCATTTCCTTCCCTGCCCTAGGTGGTTGGGGGGCCCTGCTTCTTCTCTGCCCCATTCCTATAGGCCCAAATGGACGGTGGGGTCCAGTTGGGACCCCAGGGTCTTGAGCTGCCCTCCAGGCCATCCATGCTCCATTAACATTTCAAAAGACAATCCCTGGAAGCTGAGAAGGATAGCTGAGGACTTATAAACAAAGAAGTTGTTTCTCTGATTAAGTTACTTTCCTAAGTAATGGGGCTATGTTTGAGAATGAGCTTGGATTTTCTTCATCAAAACATGCCACTTGGCTTTCTGCTGGGACAGGGGTAAAGCCAGTTAAGTAATTTTGGCATTTGGTCTAAAGCTAGGGTAAGTGACCTGAATTTTTAGGAAGGGGGAAGATCTATATAATAATCTCTATAATATACAGGGTTGGCAAAAGTAGGTTTATAGTTGTGAGTACATGAAGTATAGAGTTTATTCTTGTATTACTGTTTATTAATTATTGTATTATTCATTTGTATTACAACTGTAAACCCACTTTTGCCCATCCCTGTATATATAGTTGGATGCTGTGAAAATATACACTTCTCTCCCCTCCCAAGGAGAAGTTACATGTATTCACAGATTTGGGTTTAAGGAAAGAATCTTAGCAACTTTTCAACTTGCCTGAGGATAGCGGCTCTTTTCAAATGCTACATCCAAAGACCACTCTCCATGTTCGAGGGAAAAAAAGAAGAGAAGGGTAGTTAGAGTCCAAAAGGTTAAGGGTTTAGAGGTCAGTCCTCCCGGCTGAAATACAGCTAATCGAATAGAAAATTTGTCCTCTGGATGAACCTGATTCTGTAATTTAGCCCCGAACTTCAGTAAAATACCTTTTCAGCCTCTCAACGTGAGGGCGTCAGAAAAAAGACATCTTGACTATGTATGAACTCTGTGCTTTTTGTCATAGAAACAATGATGTGAATAATGCAGGAATATCCATCTTTAATATCCCGACATGCTGATATTCAAGTATTGCCATGTGCAAGTCTGAGAGCCAGGCTCACCCCAAAGAGGAACAAAGAGCTGTCCCCGGGGTCTAATACAAAAGACCAAGGCTTGGAGGATACTTTAGAGAAGTGGAATTTCAGCCTAGGGACTCCAGTGAATACTTGCCCTCAGCTCTCAGGAGACACTGAACCAAAGAACATGACTGCAGAGAAAAGTCTTTTCTTTCGCCTACACTTAAATTTATTTTTAAATTACCACTGAGACCTTCTAAAGTATCCTGAATCATTGAAAAACTAACCCCAATTCTGAGTCTCTCAAGCTCACTCTTTCTCCCTCTCCACTTTTATCACTTTTCGATAGCTACAACCTAGGATTTCTTTTTGGAGTCTCAGGCTTTGGGGTTTAAACTTTCGAAGACTTGTTCCATTTGGGTATATGAACTCTGGTCATTACCTTTGACTCGTTCTCCCTTATCCCTAAGGGTCAGCATTTTAGAAAAATGAGCTTTGAACCCTTACCAGGCAAGGCATTAGAGAAATGACTGAAGAACACCTCTCCTGTTGTCTGAGAAGGATTGTTTTAAACCACTATTCTCAAAGCAAGGAAGAGGACCTGACAACTTTTGTACTTTTACAATTTCTGCTTCTAACTAATGGGTTGAGAAAAACTTCTTTAAGATTTGTTTTAAAAATAAAAACCTCAGGGGAAAACCCCTGAGACCAACTCTTGTGGACTTCTAGATTCAATTAGGTTTTTTTTCTTTTTTTAAAGTAAGACTTTCTCTACTTCCCACCTTCTCTGCCCCCCCAATAGCCCCTGTCCCATATAGGCCATACACCAATTCCTATGAAAATATTACTATATGGGCTATTTGGGCATTTGGAATTCAGTTGGAACAGAAAATTCAGCCATTATCTAATGACCCAGAACATAGAGGTTTTGTTTTCTTTCCCCAGAAGAAAAATGTTGGACCATTTGTTTCTTTTTTTTTTCCTCTTTCCTTTAATCACTCAGAACTCATTGTAGCACAGTGCTGAAAAAAGCACATGTGGAAACATATTTTCAAGAACTCAGCTCAGAGTGGACCCTTTGCTTCCCTCTAGTAGGGCTAAGGGCCACCCCCCCACCCTTGCCACATTTCTGGGGAATAGGGGGTGGGGTTCAAAATACCAGTTACAGCCAGAAGTCCACATGTCTCTGATTCTGCTCCCTGAAACTCAGCCCCTTTCACCATCTTAAGGGTTTTGGCACTAAGATGTCAGTTATTCCTGTACCCCATTCCCCAGCAAATAAATATTTAAGCAAATATAATCTAAACATAAAATAACCCGTTTCCACTTCCTTCTTAGACTCATTTCTTTGGGCATGGGGCCAGTGGGAACAAAATATATATATATATGTTTTTTTTCTTCACACTGGAAATTAAATAGACAACCCAGAAAGTTCAGAAATCCTGGCCCAGCTCTCCTGCTTCCACTTAGCACAGAGGTGGCCAACCTGCTGCCTCAACTCCCCCACATTATTAAACCACAAAGATCCCTGGAGGGGTGGGGTGGGGGAGGATGCTCAAATTCACACTGGGATAAAGCATTCAACCTTCACTTGCAAATTCAAGATCCAACAGCATAAGATTTTTCATGAGTTTAATGACTCACCAAGGTTTTGTGTTCTCAGTAGCTCCTGCCATATGATAATATACTTAGAGAGAGAATCCCGCCCCCCTTCCACCCGCCCCACCCGCTCCAGGGAGGGGGCTGCCCTCGGGCAGGATGCTAACCTAGTCGGAGGGCGGCCTGCAAGTCCCAGGCCCACCCTACAGTACCTTAGAGCCCAACGAGGTGACAGCAGGCCCGGCCTGCCCCCGCAGCTTCGGCTCAGCCGGGAGCGCAGGGAGGGATGGGCCCAGGGTCCCCACTTCTATAAGGTCGTCAAGTCCGTGTGGTCCTTGGCCAGCGGCTGCAAATGCTGGCCGGGGGTAGTAGCTGAGGAGGAGCAGGATGAAGACGAAGAGGACCTGCCTTTGGTGTTGGGCAGCTTGTGGTCTTTTTTCCACTTCATCCTCCGGTTCTGGAACCAGATCTTGATCTGGCGCTCGGACAGACACAGGGTGTGAGCGATTTCAATCCGACGGCGCCGCGTCAGATACCTGTTAAAATGAAATTCCTTTTCCAGTTCTAGGACTTGCTGCCGAGTGTAGGCCGTCCGGGACCGCTTGGGTTCCCCGCCGCCGGTGTAGTTGGGGTTCACTGAGAGGCAAAACAGACAGCATGGTCAGGTCAGCGCCTGGCAACTAGTTAGGCCCCCGGCCAGCGCTGCTCACTTCCTGGCGCTCCACGAAGCCCCAGGCCCTCCCTGTGCTCCAAGCCTGCTCTCCCTACCCCCCTCTCTCCCAGCGCACGCTCACTACTACCCACCCCGTCACACCCACACACTCCCCAAGCTAGCAGGCCGGGGTCCCTAACTGTGCTCCCATCTCTCTGGCCCACCGAAAGCTCCGGAATTTCCAAGCATTTTGGAAAGCCCCCTTTCCTCCACGGTGTACCCTCTGTTCTGAAAATGGAGTCCTCCCCCACCCCACCCTCATCTCCACCCCCTTTTTTGCCCACAGACAAGCAGCCAGCCACAGGGTCCCAGCCTGCTCCCTCAGCTATAAAAATTTATGGAGTAATTGAGGCGCCCACTGAAGCCCCCACCCACTCGCAGCCCCCTCCCAGGGCCCAGGCCGCTGGGTTGGCGTGGGGACTGAGAGGTTGCCGGCCCACGCCTTACCAGAATTCACGTGCACCTTCTTCATCCAGGGGTAGACCACCGCCGGCTGCTTGAGTGCCGTCCCGGGGGGCGGCTGCTTGGGGCCGCCCGGCTGGCTGCAGGCCCGGGCGCCTGGCAGGGGTGCGGGTGGGGGTGCAGGAGGCGCTGGGCACGGCTCTCCCGGGGCGCCGTAGTGGCTTCCCGGTTCTTGCGGGTGACCCCGGGTGGGCAGCGATGAGCCCGGACCCGGGCCGCCTCCGAAGGTCTGCTCACCGAAGTCAGGCCGTGGGTAAAGCCCCGGGGGCTGGAAATCGGCACCCTGTGCGCCTCCCCCGTAGTAGTCGGCTCCCTGCTCGCCTAGGTAGCCGCCCTGCAAATATTCCTCACACGGAGGGAACTTGGGGTCCACATACTTGGAGTTCACCATATACGAACTCATGGCCATTAATTTCAGAAGGTAGAAAATACTAATTTTTCTCGTGTTGTCTTTTTTTCTCCTTCCATAGGGCCCTCCTACTTGCTGTCAACTGAATAAAGTTGGCGGCCATGTGACCAAGCCAGCCAATAGCGAGGAGGCGAGTTTATCACCGGGTTGGTGAGCATCTCATAATTTTCACAAATTTAACTAAATAACATACGTGTAATCAAGAGACTCGCTGTGGCACATACGAGGGCCCTCACCAGATGTTAATGTACTTCTGATCCCCAGTACCCTCATCCCTCATAGGTAATCCCAGCTTTTGTCTGCCTCTGACTTTGCTAACCTCCAGTGCCCTTTCCACTCACCCCCCGCCTGAAAAAAGCCCCCCAAAGTTGGCGCAGTTCAAGGGGGAGTGAATCCCCATATGTGTCGGGGTGTGGGCACCAAAAGGCAGGTGGGTGAGGTAGCATCTGAGTTGGGGAGAGTACCCCAGCAGGCAGGGCTCCCGCCAACTCAGCTCGCGCCAACCCAGCCGCGGGAACGGGGACTCTGCCATACAAAGGCCGAGTCCTGGCTTTGTCTGCATCAGGGTCACCCAAAAGTTACCACAATCTGACTGGCCTGAATCAATTTAGGCAATGAGTAACCACAAAGCTTTCTGTGAGTGCCCAAGCTGGGATGTTTTTAGCCAAAGCCGGGCCTTGCGAGTATGACAAGGGTCTCCCACTGCCTCAGCCTCTGAAGCTAAGGGGCGCTCCAGGAAGACAGTGAGGGCACCGCCACCCCGCTCAAATGGATCCCAAAGGACCCTGCACTCCTCTCCAGCTTGCCTTCTTCCCACACTGGCAGTCAATGTCCAGTGAGCCTCTCACTGGGCAGCCCCCAACCTTGTGCTCCTTGAGGGCAAAGCTGGGGCTACCTGGCCTCAGACCTCACTCCCCAGTCCTCCAAAACCTAGCCTTTTGGCCCTGAATTTGTGCAACCAGCTATGGTTTACACAGGAACCCCTGTATAGAGGTAAAGGGCTTCTCGAAGAAAAGGTGCTCTGTGCCACCAGGCTCAGTTGATCCTCCTGCAATCCAATCTAACAAAAGAGGGAGAGGCAGCTGACCCACCCCGGCTGCTTCTGGCCTCTCTTTCCGACTCAGGCTATTTTGGAGAAATATGAAGTTTTTGCATCGACCATATATTCCCCTAGAATCGAATCTGTGACTATGTCGATACCACACAAATTCGGTTCTACAGGGTATATATAGACAACGTTACTACCTCCAGGTTCCACCCAAATGGGGCACCCAGACCACTGCCAGCCTTGTCCTCTTCCTCCGAACCACCACCAGCCCGACACAGCCACCCGCATTTTCAGAGACAGTTCAGGTAGCCGGAAGAGCTTAGTGGCAATTTGTAGCAACGAGCTTCCCATCCTTGTACTAGGGCTGGGGTTACCAAACAGTCAAGGAGCCACGACAGTCTTCTTAGGGAAGAAAAAAAAATCCATCCCAGAAATGGCTGCTTTATTATTCCCCTTCTCCAGATCCAAATAGAAGCTCCCCCTTATCAAGTGGTATTTTCCAGAAAGGAAAAAATGCTCTTAGTGGCAGAAGAAAGGCAAGAGGGGAATATCCTCCATCCATTATTTTTCGCACTGCTGGGCAAGCCAGGTTGACTGACAAAGCCAGGTCTTCAAGAAGTCGCACGTTCACCTTCCTGGGCCCTGAGCCCGGCTGGTGGCTGGCCTCTCCGTCCTGCTGCTCCTGCTGCTGCAGACCCCCGAGGCAGGCTCTGCTTGCAGGCACCGAGCTGCCCTGGGTTGGGGCCAGCACACTAATGGTGAAGGGCAGGGCGAGGGGTCATTCGAAATCATTTACAAACATATCACTAAGTTTCATTATTTTTGCTTTGCCGACAGCAGCACACGAGTACAAAAGTTCACGAAATGTGCGCCCACCCCAGTGCCTCGGTGCTGTCTGGGGCTCAACCCTCGATCCAGGGCACCAAGAACACAGGCGCACTCCAGGCCCTGGTGGGTCTCAGGGACCGAGGGATGCCTGGGCTCGAGTAGGGTTTGGGGACCCCTGCCCGCAGGTTAGAGGTGTTAAAATGTTTTTTGTTTTGATTTTTTCCCTTCAAGATTCAAAAATTAGTTCCTGCCTGGTAAAGTGGAGCAGGGAAGCAAGGAGACTCCTTTCTGCCCCCCCAGACTGGCAAAATTGGCTACCTGCTTCTACTCTGCAATTTGCACACTCCCCCAACCCCATCCTAATCTGTTGGTTCCAGTACTTCGGATATTTTGTAGGGATTTCCTGGTGCCAATTCTAACAGACCCACTTTCCCTGGTCCAGGGGGGTTCACCCCAACTTTGTCTACTACTGCCAAGTGCTCCCACACACCCACTGTCTTGGGGACACAAGACTTAGGCTTTATCCACACAGATTGGGGGATCCTGCTGCGCTAGGTAGGGACCCGGTGAGACTACGGATTTTCATATTTGTTAGACGCTGTGACCTGCATTTCACCTTATTGCTCCACTTGTTCAGACAGGTCAAAGCCAACGAGTTATTGATGAACAAAAGCGTTAAATATTCACCTCCCTCACAACTGTTCATACAAATGCTTTTGATCTCTCCGGGTTTTGTGCTGTGTTCAGCCACAGGGTCCCGAATGTGGGTTTTCATACCAGAAGCATCAGCAGGGATAAGCACCCAAGAGCCAGGGCCGTGGCAGAAAGGGGGCAAGACAAGAGGATCTGGAGGATACCAGATTTTCCAGCCTGGAGCCCAGCCTGATTGGTAGAAGGGACTATGTACTGGGTGAAATTTCCACTTCTGGGGGTTAGCGCAACCCCCAGGGAGCCGACTATGCTGCCCAGCCTGGAGGGCAAAGAAACCTGGCCCAGAGCCAAGTCCCAGCTCCTCTGACCCAGCAGAGAAGGTCTCAGTAGATAGGAAGTGTGCCTTATTCCTACAGCCCTCGCGTGTTCCATCTCTCATTAAAATAAAATCATCTCCATTTTGTAGTGAGGGAGGGGCCACTGTTTTCCCTCCCTTGATTTTCCCACCACTACTTTCATCGTAAGGAGACAGTCTTCCCGAAACTTCACCAAGACCTCCTCAGATATGTACCTGTCTTCCGTGCCACGTGCAACGCAGAAGGATCCAACTTCCCAGGACCCCAAGAATCTATGCCCTCACCTCACCCCTCCCAATACCCCTCCCAATCAATCCTCACCCCCATATTTGCCTGCAACACCAGAGGCTCAGGCACAAAAATTGTCGAATTACAGCTATTGAGGAGCGGAGGTGAATGAGAAGGGCCAGGGCCGTATTCCTCCCTCCTCGCTCAGCCGTGTCCGCCACGAGAGCTCAAACCGCAGAGGTTGGGGCCGGGGGAGGGGCGAGGAGGGACTTCTACCTAAAGCTCGGAATTCGCAGTCCTTCCCGGAAGAGGGCCCACTCAACGCACCCACTATACGGTGTTTTTTCCCCCCTCTCTCTCATTTTCTTTCTTCTCTTTATTAAAAAAGAGAGAGAGAGAGAGACAAGGTTGGGGCCCGGCAGGGCTGGGTTAAGCTGGGCTGGGCTGCGGCGGGAGATCGCTTTGCCTTGGCGTTTGGCAGGTTGGTTCAGCAGGAGGTGACGCTAGCCGCAACTTATTAGGGCGGGCTGCTAATTAACAGCAAGCTCTTAAGAGAAGCGTACTCGGCAGCGGAGCTGCACCTGTGCGAGCTGGGAAGCCCTGGGAAGGCCGGGGAGGTCCAGTGAGGCCCAAGAAGACATGGGTGAAAGCCTGCGCAGGCACGTTCCCTTAATTAGGTGACTGTGAACTAGGCCCCAAAAATCTACCCAGGAGCTCAACTTAAAACCTCCACCTCCAAAGCGAGCTCCTCTCCCATCCCCAGGCCAGGGGAGGCAGGGCCCTTCTTCCACCCGCCCACTCCCCTCGCGCGGCCCTTGCCTGCCACCTCCCCAGCTATTAACATCGCCTCTTTGCAATTCGGAAGAAACGGGAAGGTACTTACAGCGGTGGTCCCTCCTGGTCCCAAACCTGTTGCAATGAAAACAGGCATCACTTAAATTCCACAGGAAGATAAAGCAGAGATAGATGATACACAGAAAAATGACAAGGCCCAGGCACCCCACCAATACAAAGACCTCCCTGCTTTGGGTGCCCGCCCCCCAGGAACTGCGCCAAGTTCTCCGCAGAGGAGAGACCGCAGTCCTCAAGGGCAGACCCACAGAGTAGGAGCGAATGACCCACATCGCCTCCCCCACTCCACGCAGCCCTGGGCAAAAACCTTACTGGTTGCTTGGCCCGATTCAGACACGGGAAGCGAGGAAAAACGGGCCTTTGTGTGTTTCCTTGTGCAGAATCGGCTGGGTGGGCGCAGGTCCACTTGGGAGGTGGCCGTCGCTGCATCTGTCCCCAGCCCCAGCTTTCCGTCTATCTCCTGTTGGAAGCAATTCAGTCCCCTTTTCCAGTTTCATATTGGTTTCAAATTTCCCAACCCCAAACTAGCGCTCCCAAAACCTGTCTTCTTTCCAAAGAAGGACCAGCAAGGCTGGGACTTGCCTTCCCACTTATGGTCCAATTCAAAACAAAGAGCTATTTCCAAGGGAAATGAGGACCCAAATGATAACCAAGGAGGAGGAGAATCAATGGGTTTCAAGGTAAATGGCAATGCTTTAGATTGTTATCCAGCTCTGTGATATGGCATGATTTTGTCAGCATTGCTGCTGGAGAAACCACAAAACAATCGCACAAAGCAGTGGTCCTCCCAGGGACTGGCATCCAGCTTTAAGTTTTCAGTCTCTAGTTTTATTCTAGGATGGCAGTCTTCTCTGAGAAATCTCAGAAGCAAAGTCATCACCATCCTCATCCTTTCTCTCTCTTACTATCTAGACTACCACTATCTTATTCTACTTCTGAAACAGATGCTCCATTTGGGGAAGAGATAGACAGCAAGTCCCTCTTGGTGAGGTGGGAACCTCAATTCCTAACTTTCTGGGTCTAGAGGGAGGGGAGAAAACCAGGATTCTCTTTTTCTCTGTTAATTTAGGTTAAGGCTAAAATTAGAATTAACTTTAATGGGATGACTTCTCACCCCAAGAGGAAAAGAGAGGCAGAAAAATCCCCCACCCCTGGAGCTCTCCTGGAAAAAGTAAATGACTTACTGGTTTTCTTTCCTAGTGGGCATGGGAGCTGGGAGTAGAACTGCCTCCACTGAGCCAGGCGCTAGCTGGAACCTCTCACTTTCCTATCGCTGCTCCAGGAACCAAGCATCTGCACTTGTATGCTCTTAACCTAATTTATGGTGGGAATTATATTTTGGCTTGTCAACTCTCAAGCCATAAAACAAAGTTTATTGGAATCACGTGCTGGTAAATAGCCATTCAGGTCCCATCTCTGCAGAACCATAAATAACCTTTGGCTTTAAACTTTTATTCACTAAATAAAGGTTCACTGCAACTGTTCCCTCACATTTAAATAGTTCCAAATATCCAGGATGCAAGAGGGTCATATTCATACCAATACCCCAGGCTTTTCAAATAGCATCTTTTCAGAGACGTCTGTTTAAGTTGGGAGATAGTACTATTTGGAAAAGGCTGGTTGGTGGGCATGTCTTATGATTCTTTGGCTGCATTCACTGTGAGTACCTTCAACTCCTTTATTTCAATCATTTTCTAGCTATAGATGTGGTAAATAAATAAAGAGGAAAATAAAAGGCCACTTTTTACTTGCTTATACCAGAAATTATTTGAGATTTTGTTCAAGCTTCAGTAGAAAAAAGGGTGGTTGGGAGAGGCTGGGTGGGCTTGGGGGTGGGGTGGCAGTTGGAGTTCACACTTGGTGTTTGTTGTGGATGGGCTCAGCAAAGCTGAAGGTAGCTACATACCTAGAGGTTTCTATAATTTGCTTAGATCTGAAAGGAAAGACTTTGCAAGTGACCAAACTGCTTAAAACAGCAAGACTTGGGGTTTGGGAAAGTGAGAAAGTGGAGAATAGCCCCACTGGAATCTTTGGCAACTGAAACTCTAAAGAAGGTTATAAAACAATAAAACAGCCCTGGTGTGAAGGGGAGAGGGTGTGAGGAAGCAAATGAGGCTCTCAAGGAACCCAAGCCCAGGAAGTCAGATGTCCCCACTCCCACACAGCCCCAACCACAGGGCTCCGGCTCCTGGTCCAGGGCCCAAACCCGGGTGGGTCCTCTCCCCAACTCCTGAACTGCCTCTCCCACCAGAGGGAGAACCTAAGAGAGCTGGGCGGGGGAGTGTGCTCTCCAGCTGAGAAAGCCTACCAAAGGAGTTTGGCCTGAGGGCTGCCCTAAGGGAGAGTGTAACTTCCCATGCTTGAAGGAGGTGGGGTGGAAGAGATGCCCCCAGCCCCCACCATCAGAAGTAAGTACCAAGAACTGATCCCCAGCATCCTTCCGTAGCTTGCCAGAGTTGCCACCAAACAGTGTGAAAACTTGTGGTTTTTACAATTCTGATTTAAAAAAAACAAAACAAAACTGGATGTTCTGTGTAGATTTGTGGAGCACATACGCATATGATTTCTATGTCAAATTCAGTTGCAAAAATTCTCATCAGCAAGTCCTGTCAAGTCCATGAAAGAGATCCTTCTCTACAAAGATCACTTTGCATCCTAATTTCCACCCATTCTCCAGGCATTTCTAAACCCATTTCCTGATATGACTTTCATTAGCTAGAAAGGGTGGGGGGGTTTGATAGCTCAGACTGTATGACACCTACTTTTCCTTTTCCCCCACATTAACCACTTAGGAGGATAGTTTCTTCTACAGTTGGTAGCATCTGTTTTTAAAATGAGTAAAGATCAACCCTTTAAAAATGGTTTCTGATTCTGTTAGCACTAGGTGAGCAACATCAAAATTAGTCCCTGTTAAACTACTGCAAGAAATAACCAAACTTTAAGGGAGTGGGAAAAGATTTCTTTATTTTCCCTTAAATTAACAAAAGAGAACTAATCAAAGGATGCACGACTTTCTAGGCAATTGTGACGAGCTTTTTAAAAGGGTGGGGTGGGGTAAGGAGAAGAACAGCCTGAGGAGATGGTGTTTGAAACAATGCCCAGCACCTAGCCAGTCAGGGTTTAGTAGGTTGTTGTTGTTGTTGTTTTTTAATGAATGATGAAGGATGGTGATTGGGACTTGCTTTCAGTCTTCACTGTGGCTTACAGAAGATGAATAAAACTGAACAGCCTACTCTGTATATTTCGATAATAACAGGAAAGCAGCTAGTTATGCATAGGGGGAGGGAGGAAAGAAAGGAAGACATTGAAGCAGACACCTTCAATTAGTTTCTAATCTTAGGATGGCCAGGAAATGTGATTAAGGAAAGACTGTCCACCTTCCCACAATCTCCCTTTGTCCTCCCCAACCCCCAATGTCCTGGGCTTCTGTAGATGAATGAGAGAGTAGAGATGGAGAAGAGCAAACTCCATCTAGTAAGAACTTTGAGCACCAGGGGTGACAACAGACTAGCTTGGGCTAATTTATTGGGATTTTCTCAAGGACTTTCAATGGCAGTGGTAGTGGTAATGGTAATAAAAGGGAAGGTAGGGGAGGAGTAGTTGAAGCCTTCTTAAAAACCAGTAAGGAATTGGTTTCTGGGTAAAGTCTGAGACTGTAGGCATTTTCGCTCCCCACTTCACTGGAAAGGGCCAGTTCTGGGAATTCCTCCCAGAGAGCTCCCATAAGGTAGAGTCTCTGTAGAAGCCAGATAGCACCCAGGAAGGAACAGAGTATAAAGGGGTCCCAAGAGATAACAGCTACACTGCAAATGTAATGAGGTCTGCCTTTGCCCACCCAAAGGGCCCATGCTATGCGGTCCCAGGTAAGAAAGAGTATTCTGATCTTGACTCTTAAGAGATTTCTTGCCCAGAGGTAGTATTAAGCTCTCTCCTTAAACTAAATGCCTGCAAAACCAGGGTAGGTATGGATGGGAATTTGGGTGAACTCTCTATACCAGAGACAGAAGGAGAAAGGAGTCTGCCCAGGCCTGGCACTTAGGGACACATGATAGGGGGAGGGCCACTGAAGGGCTGATCAGGGAGTTCAAAGCAGGAAAGACATATGACTTCATATTCCTGGGACTGTGCTCTATCAGAAGTGAAAGAGGAACACTTCTGGCACCCACACCCCTACCCACTACAATGGAATCCACTCACTGGAGCTTAGGCTTGGTGTCCTCTGGGAAGAAAAGGTGACTGCAGAAGAAAATTTCAATAGTTAGAGATGATATCCAAAAGCATGGGCCCTGGGGCAGGATCTCTGACAGTAGGGTTAGTGGCTAGAAAAGGCTCCCATGGTCCCAAGAAGGGATAGGCTTGGGGCAACCATCCTTGGAGAACCAATAATGGAGGTTATATGAAACAGAAGCTGGGGGTGTCTGGGGGGCTACAGCACTGCCCTATACCATGGGCCAAACTCCACCTGATGTGTTTGATAGCAAATGAGACTATGTGTGTTTTGAGAGAAAATATGACCCAGGTGGACTCCTGGTTAAACCAAGAGGAGCATCTTAGCCAAGGGCTGTGGAGGCCCTTGTAGGAAAAGTCTACAGGCAGAAGTCACAGAAGCTAGGGCTAAGCAGCTGGAACCTGATTGCAGGGGGTGGATATATGTTTGGGTGTTGTAGCCTGAGCCAGTATTTACATAACTGTTTTTAAAAGATATAAGGAATCCCCAAAATTTGGAAGGGCTGATGGAGATTTGGGGGCTAAGACCTCTCAAAGACACACCTTGGCATCACTACCACCCAGGTTGGGCACTATGGCTCAGACATGGCCCTGGAGCCCAGACCTTGGAACTCAAGTAGGTTAAGGACGAGTGGGGCACCCAGACTTGTCTTGATGTTGCCCACTGGCCTTTTGTTTTTCCAGCCTGCCCTAGATTTCAAGAGACTGAAAAGAAAGTATCTGCCCTGGGGCTATAAAGGAGGATTCCTGCCCTGGTAGGCGAGACTGACAGATAGTGGCAGAGAAGGTGACTTCAGGAGGTGGACAGTGGGGGCTGCTCTCTGGAAAGGCCTAAAGCCCTGTGTAGGAGTTGCAGATGTGTCCATGTGTTTGTAAGGCCTCCCCTCCCTGATATCTGCCCACTGAGGACCTAGGGGTACTTTCTTCCTGGGGGCAGCCATGAAGTGTAGACAGGTGCCAGACACTGAAACCCCAGGAGGCAGGGCCTATGAGGTCAATTACAGCAATGGGAAGTGTCCCAGAATCATGTGTTCCTGGGTCTGTTGCCTGCTGTGTGACCAAGCCTACCTAGACCTGTCTTTTCCTCTGTGGTATTGAAGGACTGGGTGAGTGAATCAGGTCTCTTTCAGCTCTAAAAGTCTAGGTCTGATCGCTCAGCAGAAAAGGAATAGTGCTAATAAGGAACCCATACTGAAAGCCTATTATGTGCTAAAACACTCTTTTAAGTAGTTAACCAGTGAGTTAATGTATGTAAAGCAGTTAGAATAGTGCTGGATATATAGTAGTGTGATATAAATAAAAATCCTCATAACACTTCAAGGTACTCTCATTATCCCTACTTTTCAAATGAGGTTATAGGCCCAGAGAGCCTTCCCTACTTGCCTAAAGCCACACAGGAGGTAAGTGGTAAAAGTTTGAACCAAGGCAGTCTGAACCTACTCAGTTTGAAATCTCCAAGTTAGCAAGGGATCCATGTCCCTTCCCCCTAAATGTGAACCATTATTCAACCTATGGGAAAGTGACATTAGAAAACCCAGTTAGTGAGTGAGCCTCCAGAACTACAGGGGTTCCTGAGTGGTAGGGGGAACTTACCCCCTAGAGACAGAATAACAATAAAAAAAGCAGGAGAGACCTGGCCAGTATGGCCCAGTTTGTTGGGCATTGTCCTGCAGACCAAAAGGTCCTGGGTTCAATTCCAGGGCAGGACACATCCCTAGGTTGTGGGTTCAGTCCTTGGTTGGGGCAAGCATGCAACCAACTGATATTTCTCTCTTACATCCATGTTTCTCTCCCTCTCTTCCCCTCTCTCTAAATCCTCTTTCCCTTCCTCTCTCTCTAAAAACAATGAAAAAATGTCCTTGAGAGACACTTGATCAAGTAGTTCTCAGACATGCATGTGCATTCTAATTGCCCTAGAGCAACAGTGTTTACAAATTGCAGGCCCCTGACATTATGATTTAGTAAGAAATCTGGTGTGAGACCCAGGAACCTGCATTATAAACAAGATTTGAATGCAGGCCTTGATTAAGAATCAATGCCCTAAAGTAGGGGAAAAGGTTGAA